ACTAAGTCATGTCCCCATGGATTGCAGTTCACCAGCCTCCCCTGTCCTTTACTATCTCCTGGAGTTTGCTCAGATTCATGTCCATTGAGTCAATGATGCTATCTAACCATCTCATCCTCTGTCACCCCCTTCTTCTCCTGCCCTCAATCTTGCCCAGCATCAGGGTCTTTTCTAATGAGTCGGCTGTTTGTATCAGGTGGCCAAAGTATCAGAGCTTCAGCATCAGTCCTTCCAATGAATATTCAGGGTTGAGCTCCTTTAGGATTAACTGGTTGGATCTCCTTGCAGTTCAAGGGTCTCTCAAGAGTCTTCTCCAGCACAATCTGAAAGCATCAGTTCTTCCATGCTCAATTATTTTATTTATAAATAAAAACGTTAAAAAAAAAAACCTACAGGAAGTTTTTTTTTTTCCTCCCTGCACAATAATGTTAGAAACTCTCCAGGTCCCAAAACGCTGGATAAAGCCCAACACTGAGAACACTCCACACAGGAGGAGGAACCATGGTGAATGGTCCCTCAAACCATAATTATAACTTTCAGTGGCTTATAAGCATGTGACTAAATTCCACATCTAAGGTACACGTGAAGAGCATACGTAGTCATAATCGAAGCCTTGCTGGCCAAACCGTCACATTTTATTGCAAGGACCTGGCCTCCTGCTGTCCCGGAGTGTGCCCGGGTACTGCTGTGCCAGCTCTTAGGAGCATGGTGTTCCCCTTCTGTCATCGTGCCTGATGACCACACAGGGACCCTCAGGACTTGCTCTGCAGGACAGCTAGCATCCCGCCTAGGGAAACACTCCCAGGAGGTGCACACTGGCTTGGTGTGTTGGGAAGGAGATCAGTTTCATCCATAGCCCAGCAGAAACTAGAGTCAAACTTTAAATGAAAGTCTACTGACAACTTGAGGACTGGTGATGGGTTCTTTTTTCAGGACTACTGTTAACAAGGTACTGTAAACTGAGGCTTATTTTCTCACAGTTCTGATGTCTAGAAGTATAAACAGCCCCCAACTTCAGAGGGAAGCAGGGGTCGCTCCCTCTGAAGTCTCCAGGAAGGGGCATCGCTCCAGCCTGCCTCCATCGTCACATCGGTGGGTGGGTGTGTCTGTGTGCGTGTGTCTCATCTTCTCTCTGAGGAAACCAGTCATGTTGGATTAGGGCCCACTCTCTTCTAGTCTGCTGCTGCTAAGCTGCTTCAGTGGCGTCTGACTCTTTGCCACCCCATGGACTGTGGTCCGCCAGGGTTCCTCTGTCCATGGGATTCTCCAGGCAAGAATAGTGGAGGGGGTTGCCATTTCCTGCTCCAGGGGATCTTCCCCACCCAGGGATCAAACCTGTGTCTCCTGCGGCTCCTGCACTGCAGGTGGAAACTTTACCACCGAGCCATCATGGAAGCCCACTCCAGTTTGACCTCATCTTAACCAATTATATCATCAACAGCTGTATCCAAATAAGATTACATTTTGAGAGGGTTAGGACTTTGACATATCTGTGTGGGGGACACGTTCTGAGGTAGACTGGGACCTTGGACCCTTTCCTGCAGTGCCTGCACCTGGACAGATGTCTCCTCATCTAACAGAATACAAAGAAACTACAGAAGACTAAAGATAGTTGCATATTAAAAAGCAGACAGCATATTAAAAAGCAGAGACATTACTTTGCCAACAAAGGTCCGTCTAGTCAAAGCTATGGTTTTTCCAGTAGTCATGCATGGATGTGAGAGTTGGACTGTAAAGAAAGCTGAGCACCAAAGAATTGGTGCTTTTGAGCTGTGGTGTCGGAGAAGACTCTTGAGAGTCCCTTGGACTGCAAGGAGATCAAACCAGTCCATCCTAAAGGAAATCAGTCCTGAATATTCACTGGAAGGACTGATGCTGAATCTGAAGCTTCAATACTCTGGCTACCTGATTCGAAGAACCAACTCATTGGAAAAGACCCTGACAATGGGAAAGACTGGAGGCAGGAGAAGGGGACGACAGAGGATGAGATGGTTTGGATGGCATCAGCAACTCAATGGATGTGAGTTTGAGTAAATCCCGGGAGTTGGTGATGGACAGGGATGTCTGGTGTGCTGCAGTCCATGTGGTGGCAAAGAATCAGACCTGACTGAGCAACTGAACTGAAAGATAGCTGCACCCGTGCACTGTAGGGGAGAATTATCAACAGTGAGAGACAAGAAGGCCAAAACCCAATGGTTGCTTCTGAGTGTCAGGAGGAAAAAAAGGTGATCCCTGCACCCATCATCACCAAGGGGATGGGCAGATCACCAAGCCACCCCTCCCCCACAAGCAAGGGCACTTGTTGCTTTCTCTCTCTCCTTCCTGCTGCAGCAGGAGCCCCAATAAGGCCCTGCCTGCATTTCCCATCCGGTCTCTTATATGGTCTGGCAGCCGTCAAGTATTTCCAAGTGAATTCATACATCAATCCCAAATATTTCAGGTCATCTGAGTCATTTCTTAAACCAAGGAAATTCTCCCCATTCTGGAATAAAGGAATCTTCAGAACTCCAGAGTCTGGTCTTAAAGGGCTTTAACACAACCGGAATATTTCGTGAATGAATTTGTCATTTACAACTGCACTTCTCGGTCTGGACTCCTAAGTCTGGACTTCTCAGGCTAGGGCGGTGCTTTCAAACTTTTGGGGGCAACACATAGAAAGAAATACATATTACAATGGAATGCAGTACACATTACATATATACATAGCATATATAAACATATGCACACACACAACAAAAGTGTCACGAAACAGTACTCACCATTACTATGCAAGGAACTATTTTCTATTCTGTTCTTCTATTTAAAAAAAAAAAACCACTAAGCTGATTTCACAACCTACCAGGGAGTCTGGTACCATTAGTTCAAAATAATGTAGTGGGTACTGGCTCAGTCACACCGCAATCTATGACTTCGTGGACCGTAGCCTGCCAGGCTCTTCTGTCCATGGAATTTCCCAGGCAAAAATACTGGAGCGGGTTGACATCTCCTACTCCAGGAAACTTCTTGACCCAGGGACAGAACCCTGTGTCTCTTGCTTCCACAAGCAGATTCTTTACCACTATGCCACCTGGAAAAAGTACTGCAGGAGAGGCACCCAATTCACAGGACAAAAATTATACATTTTCCTGGCGAGTCCATTTTAAGGCCTGAATTGTTTAAATATTTCAACTAATTACAGGGCAGAATGCAAAAATCAATTAACATAAAAGACAACTTGAAAGGTTTTCTCGTGTCCAGCTGGTGGCCTGGGGCTTCAACTGTAAGACCATACCCCCTCAGGACCTGAATGTGCACTCGCCCTCTCCAGTGAGTACTTAGAGGGACAGTGGAAGGATTCTGCCCCAACGTCGGTGTTCTAAACCCAACACCGCGACAGTCCAGGGACTGTCACCTCCAAATCTTCCTAACCCAGGAATCCTGCCCTTGCCGCTCAGTTTCCTGGGGGCTTCTCCTCGGTGCTCACTGGGCGAGGCCAGGACCAGAGAGCGGTGGTCCCCCTTATCCAGGCAGGTCAACACTGCCAAACAGCCTGGGGATGACAGAGGGACTGTGGTCCGAGTAGCAGGTATCTGCTTCTTCAGCAACCTCCATGGACAAGTACACCTAGCATGATAGAAGGCTCTAATCGCATCCTATTTTCTTGGGCCCGGTTTTCATCTTCTTGTCGCATGATCCAGCCCCCTGAGCTGGTGTCCCTCCCTGCACTCCAAGACTGGTGCTACCCCCAGACACCCTTCACCAGCACCACTGAAAACGGGGTTGTCAGGGCACCTCTGGAGGGAAATACAGCAGCGTTCCTTCAGCGGAGAGGTCAGCCCACGCCAGAGCGCCGGCTCACCGGTCTTAAATCCCCCTGGAAGGACAGTTCTGGTGAGTTCTCAGCCAACAACGGCGGGTGTTTTAAGTCTGCCTTACTTTCAATTAGCCACGCAGGCGTTAACAGTTAAAAGCTGCGTCGACCCGGCGCTGTTCCTTTCCCGTGAGGTGTGCGGCCTCCGCAAACGCCAGGGTTAAGACCAGAACTGAGGAGATGCATGAGAACTGAGGAGAACGCTTTTTTCATGAAACCCGTTCACATTTTCAATGAACGCATCCTCCGTTCTTCCCATGGTCCTTCACCCATGGCTGATGCTTCGTCATCACCTACATCCTCCAACCTAGATTCACGAAAGCCAATGCAGCAGTTTTAAAACAAAAACAAATAAACACACAGGAGGATGGTACCGGGCAACCAACGGCCCAGCAAGGCACCCGCCACGCGCCTCGTGCCTTTTAAGAGTTCAGCTGCCCACCAATCACCGCGCCTCCCACGCGTAGCCACGCCCCCTCCCCGCGATCTAACCAATCCCTGGGGAGGTAACTTTTCTCCGCCCCTCCCACCTGCCTCCAGCCCTTCCGAAGTTCGAAGCCTTCAAACTTCACCCGCGCCCAGCCGCGCGCTCCCAGTCGGAGTTTATTTTTAGCTCCCGGGCCAAGCAGCCCCCGCCTCCGGGCCCGCCTCTTCACCGCCCGCCCTCCCAATGGGAGAAGGAGTTTCCGTCGCGTCAGCGCGCGGGCGGATGGGAACTGCCCAATCAGCGCTCGGGGAGAGCTGGCGTCATTAAAAAGCGGCGGAAGACGGTGGGCGGGTCATGACGCAGCGAGTTTCAGTCGTGACTTTTCCAGGGGCATCTCGGCGTCCCCTTTTTTTCCCTTTAAAGTAAAACGCCTCCCGACGCACACCCCTTGCGTTTGGGGCAGGGGGCGGTGGCCGCGGGAGGGCGGTGCTGACGCGAGCCGCCTGCGGCGTCGCGCGGTCACGTGGGCGTGTTTGGGGGCGGGGCCGCGCGGCGGTTCCGGGCGGTTGGGCGCGCGAGCGAGGAGCTGAGGCAGCCGCGCCCGCCCGCCCCGCCCCGCCCCTGGATGCCGCTGTGCCCCGGCGCGGCCGCCGCCGATCGCAGCGCAGGAGCCGCCGCCGCCGCGGTTGATGTGGTTGACCCGGGGCTGAGGAGGCCGCCAAGATGCCGCAGTCCAAGTCCCGGAAGATCGCGATCCTGGGCTACCGGTCTGTGGGTGAGTGGCGGGCGCCGCGCGGCCTCCTCGCACCCCGGGCCCCGGGCCTCGCCCGGGGCCCGGCCAAGTTTGGGGCCGGCGCGGCCATGTGGCGGCCGCGCGTTTCGTAACCGGCCGCCCGCAGCCGCCACCTCCATCTTGGAGCGGAGGCCGGCGGCGCGGCCGGGCCCGCGGGGCAGCGAGGGGGACGCGTGTGGGAGGCCGCGGGCGGACGGGCGCTCGGGTCGGGTCGGGCCGGGCCGGCAGTGTGGGTTGGCCGCCGCGCCGCCCGCCGCAGGGCCCTCCACAGCCCCGGAGTCGCACCTGTCCCCCCTCCCCGCGGCGAGCAGTCCGTGGTTGTTGCTGGTGGCCTTTTCCACCCCAAATTAAAACCAGTGGGGCTTCAACAAAGGACGTCGCACCTTAGCCGTAATTTTTGTGTCTTGTGAAGTTTCAACATTTTAAAGCACACCCGGGAGCTCAGAGGACGTTTGGCTGCTGAGGGCCAGTTTCCTAGGAAGAAACTCGAAAGAGCCCTCCCCCAACCTCCCGCTTCGGAAGCCCCCCGAGATCCTGCCAGCGACCGAAGTCGGAGGGCAGAGAAAGGGAAATTTCTGCCCTCTTGGTGTCATGTTTTTTCCTTTGGGGGGAAAAAATAAGGTCAGATACTTGTAACTAGAATGTCGAAGTAATTCAAAAGTACCCCTTCCCACCCCCCGCCAAAGGTTGACATATATTTGAAACTGAGAGTGGCTGTCGCTTTTTCCACCCCGAGCAGAGGTGGTCTGGGGTGGGAGGTGGTGGACAGAATGCCGGAAAACGAGGGAGAAAACAGAACCGTTGAACTTAACCATGCTTCAGGGTGAGGTTTTTATTGTCTTTGGCAACCGGAAGTCTGGGAAAATTACTTTTATCTTTCTGTGTTGTTTTTAAGAAGCAGCTGTCCAAGGAAAAGGGCGCACTTGACCACAGTGGGGTGGGGGTGGCGAGGGCAGGGGTTCGGAGTCTGTGGTGACTGCAGAAGGAGGTGATACAAATTGCCCTGGGAAAGCTGGTAACTGCCTGCTCATTGGCCGAACTCCCCGACTTCGCTTTCCCTTCTGCTTCTTCACCCCCATTTTCCACAGTCGGTGCCAGGGTCTGTGCTCTTTGACCAAGATCAGCTGCAGCGTGCTTACTCATCCTTTTATCATCTCTCTTTGTCAAAGTGCTTGGGGGGGGCGGATATCAAAATGAGAGGCTGAGAGACTCTTGTGTACAGATAAGGGGTGCCAGGAGCCCTGGGGGTAACTCCTGTGAGATGCGGTATTCCTGGTGGGGAAGGAGAGGTGACAGTCTTAACAACCGCAGCCGTCAAGTCACCGGGCGTCAGATGGAGGCTCTTCAAGTCTAACAGCCCTGAATGCCCATATGGAACCACCGCATCCCACCTTTATCAACAGTCTGTATCTCAGAGCACTTGCTTCTCTGTTCTCGTTCTTTTCCTCCTCTGCATTGTGAAGAGTGGGACTCGGACATATCCTGTCTCTTGAATGAGTTATATCTCCTCAGAGTGCCCACTAGTTAAAGGTACCAGTGTCTGAATAATCAAGTTACAGGTGACATGAATTACCTGGGCTGCCTGCTTTCAACTGAAGAGAATATCCCAAGCGTCCTGGCTTATTTACCCCTTGAAATTCTTGAGATGGTGATTCCAGTCACCAGTAATCTAGTCTAGCATTTTATCAGTGTTTGTTAAAGAAGTTCTTTAGGTCCAGTTGAAACCAATTGTGTCTTACCTGCCTGCTAATCACATCCTCTTGAAGACCCAGAGGTGACACATCAACCATTTGCTTTCACTTCACGTTTATTTTAAACCACTCTTCGTGAAATACTGCACTGGATTAGCCTCCAGGGGCACCCAGAGTAGGTCCAGTCCCTGTTTTCCATGCCTTCCTACTGTTAAACCCTGCTCCATTGTCTCCATGTTTATTTTCATACGTGGTAATGATTCAAGTGAAATCTGTTTTGCACAGGTTCAGTGACTACCAGTCTTTGCATTTGATTTTACAGTTGTTTACCTTTGTTGGGAACCAGGACTTCTTGTAGTTTGTGGGTTCTTTTGTTTTGCCAGCATCAGAAATGGAGATAGCTCCCTGATTCCACATCCTCGCCACTCTGCAGAGAATTACTCAGACTTCTGAGTTCACTGACATGTCTGCTTGCCAGTGATGCTAGGGTAGAGAAATCTGAGTACCTGTGTTCCTAGGTTGTGTTACTGTGATGCTAAACTGTAGTGTCATATTGACTGGGGGTAAAAGAGTCTAAGCCAGAAACCGTATCTTTCTTAGAATGTTCTCTTGACTATCGTATGCCAGTTTGACTCGTAAAATATTTGTCATTTTGAGTTTATTTTAAAAGTTTGCCTTCAGATGAAACTACTAAGTGCAATGACTGTTTTACTACTTGATGTTCAAATTTTGTATTTTTTTAAAACACTGAAAAAACTTACCAGTGAGAAAAACAGAATTCTCAGATCATTTACACAACTTTTTTTTTCCTGAAGGACTTTTCCTGTTATTTACAGTGTTAAGCTTTTAAGGACACGTCACCTGTAGCACAGGCTGGCTTGCAGGGAGTGCTTTGTATGAGTTGTTTTGGTGGTAGCCAAATGTGCCAGCTCCCTGACGTCCATTGTTCTAATACAAATGAGTAGTCCCGTGATAGGAGGTAATTGAATGAGTAGTCCTGTGATAGGAGGTAACTATACTTAATCTGGCTAAAGTTATAGTGTCAGGTTAACAACTATCTTCAAATAAAATCGGGCACATTTTTCACAGGAATGTTCTACAGAGAGGTTTGATAATTGAGTTTACCATTAGACCACAACAATCAAAAGATTGTCATATATTACTCTCAGAGGTTAACAAACAGGATGGGATCAAAGGAGTATGAAAGATCTTAAGAGAGAACATGAAAAAATTCTGTGGTGTGGTAAAAGGCATTTCAGTAAAAGTAACTCAAATTATTACCCTTCTTGTAAAAATGTTTTAAGTAGTAAGGAACATGCATCCTTTGATTTGGCTACTTCATAGGGAAAGATATCATTAAATTTGTTCCCAATAGAATATCATCCAATTGTATGCTGATTTATTGTATATTTTTAAATTACCCTATCCTTTTCTAACACATTGCATTGAGGAATTATAAAGTTAGACATTGTTTGCCATGTATAAAATGTATTAGTATGTGAAATTGTATGTTCACGTGCTTTATAACATTGTGAAGTTGTGTACTTGTGGGTGAGGATAGTCCTGTGGTGACCACCTTGTGCTGAAGCTTGAAATTAACTTTTCTTTCAGTGCCATTCATTGTTCTGTGCAAGAAATATTCAGAGCTTGCATTTGTAATTTTGACTTTCCAGTGCTTTCTTTTCTTGGCTATGCAGGGTCATTGTTGCTTTGCGTGCGTATTTTCTCTAGTTGCAGTGAGCAGGGGTTTCTGTTGTGGACCACAGACTCTAGATGCTTGGTCTTCAGTAGTTGTGACTTGGGACTTAGTTGCTCCATGGCATGTGGAGTCTTCCCCGGCTAGGAATTGAACCTGTGTCCCCTCCGTTGGCCAGGTTGACTCTTATCCTCTGTACTACCAGGGAAGCCCCTAGATTTTTTTTTTTTTCTAAGTATAGTTGATGTATCATATTTATATAAGTTACAGGTATCCAGTAGAGTGGTTCACAATTTTAAAGGCTATTCTCTGTTTACAGTTGCTGTAAAATATTGCCTATATATTCCTCCTGTTGTACAGTGTATTGAGCTTATTTTGCACATAATAGTTTGTACCTCTTAATCTCATGCTCCTATATTGCCTCTCCCTACTTCTAAACATCAGTTCTGTATATCTGTGAATCTGCTTTTTTTGTTATATCAAATGTTAATGTGATGTCCCTGCGAGTTACGGCAATCCGTGCCTCCCTTCATCCCCAAAAGGTACTCCGTACTCGGCAGCAGTCCCCTCCCAACTTCTCCTCACCTCACCCCCTGGCATCACTAATCTTTCTGTTTCTACAAATTTACCTATTCTGGACATTTCATATAAATAGAATCATGTATACATGGCCTTGCATGCCTAGCATTTTTCATTTAACATAAATATTTCTAAGGTTCATCCGTGTTGAAGCAGGTATCAGTAATTCATTCCTTTTGGTTGCCAAATAATAATCCATTATTTGAATATACCACATTCTATTTATACATTCGTTAACTGATGGGCATGTGGGCTGTCTCTACATTTGGGCAAATATAAATAATGCTGTTACGAGCATTCCTGTTAAATATTTTTTGTATGTGTAATTTTTGTGTAGACATGATTTCTCTTCTTTTGGGTATACCTCTAGGAGTATAATTGTAATTGCTGGGTCATATGGTAATTGTATGTTTAACATTTTGAAGAACTATCAAACTGCTTTTCAACCAGTTTACATTGCCAGCTAACAATTGAAATTGGTTTCAGCTTCTCCACATCCTCACCAACACTTCTAATCATCTATCTTTTTATTTAATTTTTATATTTTCATTATCTTTTAATTAAAAAAAATTTTTATTGCCGTATAGTTGACTCGCAGGGCTTCCCTGGTGGCTTGCAATGCAGGAGACCTGGATTCAATCCCTGTGTCGGGAAGATCCCCAGGAGAAGGGAATGCCAGCCCACTCCAGTATTCTTGCCTGGAGACTCGCATGGACAGAGCAGCCTGAAGGGCTGCAGTCCATGAGGTCACACAGAGTCAGACACAACTAAGCGACTTCACTTCTTTCACTTTTCATAGTTGACTTACAATGTTGTGTTTCTGGTGTACAGTGAACATTGACTTATACATACCTATATATTCATATTCTTTTCCATTCTGTTTTATTACCGGATATTGAACATAGGTCCCCATGCTATATAGCATGTGTGTGTGTGCTATCAGTTGTGTCCGACTCTGACCCCATGGACCATAGGCCACCAGGCTTCTCTGTCCATGGGGTTTTCAAGACAAGAAT